GGGGGGGGGGTTATATACCTAAGACTATTAGCCTCTAACAGGAAACGGCAGTGCTGCTCTAGGAGCAGATGGTGCGGTGGGGGAATTCGGAACGTGCCGGAAGGGCTGCTGTTGCCGGGGGCAGTGGAATGCTCCTCATTTATTAAGGCTATCTATTCACACTCCGGCTGGGAATACGAGAGAGAGCGGCCGCCTTGTGGTCATTACCGCCGCACGGACCCCCCCTTCGCCTCGCTTTCGGACTCCCCCCCCCCACCCCATTCCATTAGCATCCCTCCGTCCCTTAGTCTCTCCCCACATAGCCTGTGACAATCTGCAGCGTCCTCTCAGATAGGAAATCGTTTCCTCCCCGTTTCTTGCTGTGCCCCCCTGCCACCGTTACGTTAATTGAATTCATTCCCCTCTGTTGCCTTTGATAACCGTGACATTGTTCTCTGTGCTGCAGGGCAGTATGGGTAGCATCGCCTGCATTGCTTGGAAGGGGGACACCCTGGTACTGGGCGACGTTGACGGGAACCTCAACTTCTGGGATCTGAAGGCGCGTTTGTCTAGGTGAGGCTAAGGTCGGGGGTGTGGGGAGGAGCCCACCACGCCCATCTGCTGGGTTCCAGTGCACATCCGCACATTTGCTTGTCCGTTTGCCGTCAGGGGGATCCCCACACACCGGGGCTGGGTGAAGAAGATCCGCTTTGCCCCGGGAAAGGGCAACCAGAAGCTGCTGGTCATGTACACAGACGGGGCCGAGGTGTGGGACACCAAAGAGGTGCGTCCTGTCCTCCTTGTGAGATTTTCTGGGAATCCAAGTGAGAATTTGCTTGTCCTTGGTGAATGTCTGATTTCGTTTGCTTACGCGGAGGGGTGTTTCTGAGAGGAGCTCTGCTATGGGAGATTTGTAACCGTTGCTGTTGCCCACAGGGAGCACTACTTAGGGTCTTTATGCAGCTAAGCACACACAAGAGGTCCAGTTCCGCTTATTAAAAGTCGTTTCTCAGTCAGAAGTAGGCCTAAGTGGTTTGGCTGTGTTTCATTCCTGCAAAGTGTCCAGATATATACCTTTGTTTACATAAGTGGAAGTTTTTATTAAGACACCCTTTGCTCAGGTTACCAGCTCTGAAAATTAGGTTTAATGACCAGTAAATAAAAAAAAAAAACACATTCTTAATTTAGTTTATTTCCTTTAAATATTTTAAAGTAAAATTAGCAAAGCTGAGGGTTGGTTTAAATGTCCTTTTCACACTTTCTCTTGTACTGTGATGAATGAATGTAATATTTACTGCCCGGAAAAAAATTCTCTGAGTGATTCAAGATTATGGGTTGGAAACGTTTCTCCCCGGGGCCTGTTGGTCGGCCACAGAGCACTGTCCTTGCTTGGTGACATGTCAGGGGGTGACAGACTCGCACAGAAGTGTGCCAGCTGACCTCACCCCTGCCTCAGAGGCTAGAGAAGTTAGTGACCTCCATCCCCCATCTCCCCAACCAGGTCCAGATGGTCAGCGGCCTCAGGGTCGGCCGGAACGTGACCTACCGCATCCTGGACATCGACTGGTGCACCTCCGATAAGGTGGTGCTGGCGTCGGACGACGGCTGCATCCGAGTGCTGGAGATGGCCATGAAGTCAGCCTGCTACCGAATGGACGAGCAGGACCTCACCGGTGAGACACAGAGTGGGGGAGCATTGAGAGAGGGAGGGAGGCGTTCATAGATAGAGTCAACTTAGAAATAACCCAGCAGGACTGTATGATCTGCCACGACACACCTTCACGTGGTCTTGGCTTTACTTTTAGCACTGGAAAATATTGAAAAAGCACAGCCAACAGATCTTTCTAATTTCCACCCCATCCAAAGCTTGCCTCCAGGCACTTGATTCTTTGAAGACTGTTCGTGATGGTTTACATTTTTGAAAAAACTACGGTACTTACGGAACCAGAACTTTAATATTCCTCTTTTTTTTTTGCTGGATTCCACTGCACAGTGGGCTATCAGGCAACAAACAGGTGGATCATACTGCTAAAACGGCCTTTATCTCTGGGATCGGAGAATGCCAGATGCAAGCATCTGACCTCACACCTGTCCTGAACGCATACATACATTCAGAAAATAGAATGGGATAAACTAACAGGGTTCATGACATCAACCCAGATATTGACAAAAACTGGGGTGTTCCATAAAATCCGGACATAAAGTGGTGTACACTAGATGCATTAAAGGTCAAACAAGACTTACACATGCATTTTTATTAAGGACTGTCGCCCCCTCAGACGATAAAGCACATTTTATTGGACTGTCCTGCCTATGCTGCCAACAAACAACGATTCTTCTTTACTGCACTGCAAGGAGTTTTTAATAATGAACAAGAAGGATGCTAGAAGTTTTTTATCACAAATACATAAGATGTCTGCCTTGTAGTATTAAGCTTGATGTGTATTTTATTTTTAAGCATTTTTACTTTATTTTATTTTAAATTTTATTTCTTTTTCAGTTTTACTAGGTATCATGATATTTATTTGCCTGTTTATACATCAATTCATGAATCAGTTTATTTCATGTATCTGCATGTAATCCAGCTGTGTGATTCCCCCGGCCCCTGATCTCCTTCTCTGGCCTCTGTCACCCAGACCCCGTGTGGTGCCCGTATCTCCTGCTCCCCCGGGCCGCTCTCACTCTGAAGGCTTTCCTCCTGCTGCAGCCTTGGTCTGGCTCCTTCACCATGGACATCACCCAGGTGTAGGTATTCTCTCTGTGCCTCCTGCAGTAAGGTGTGAGGTCTCCGCTCTGTCTGCCGGCTTCCCCGGTCTCAGATTGATGGGCCGGCCTGCATCACCTTCACTTCAGTTTTTGATGGACAGGAACCCCCCTCCACCCATCAGCGGCATCATCATCACCACTAGTGATGGCCAAATTAAGCTTCATAATGAACCATTTGTTGTGTTTTCTGACACCACTAGATGGTGCTCTCTTTTCAAAAGTGGGCTCATTAAATGCCCAAAACAAACCAAGAGCACCATCTAGTGGAGTCGAAAAATACAGAAAATGGTTCATGATCCACCATCTTGATTTTCATATGCCTAATTTAGGCACTTGAGGGGATCCCCAGGCTTGGTCTGGGAAAGCCCTGTCCCTGATTGTTTATTATGGTATGCTAAATGACCCAGTTCTGGTGGGTTACAGCCATCTTTGCTGAACAGGAGAACATAGCTGATGCCTATTGGATAATTCAGGATGCTCAGGTGAGGAGGAAGGCTTAATCAGTTTGTTGGCCACATTTTTTCTTCTACAACAAAAGTGACAGTGATCAGTGGTTTCTCTAATCTTCCTGAAACGGTTTATAGGTGAGTCAGGGTATCACATGGACGCCGTCGGCTTTGTCCTTGGAAAACGTGCATCAGAGTGTCTTCTGATATATTTAATCTCATGACAGCTTTCTTCCCTCCCAATATTGTAGGGATTACACAGAAAAAGAGGAAATTAAGGGCCTGATCCAGGAGCAGCTAAACTCCGTCTCCAAGTGAGTTCCTACCTCCGATCAGTCTGTCATGGAAAAGCAGAGCAAGCTGCCTTCAGCTAATCAGGTGGCATCTTAATTGCAGCTTTAGATCTGCAAGTTAAAGCTGCCTTGGGCTTCAGTCCCACACAACTGTGGGTTTGGATGGAGTGTTGGATAAAATGCACTCCCAACTTTTTATTTCTCACTTTATTTCTCGTTTTGAGGTTTCTTAACGTGCGATAGCCAAACATTGGAAGTAGCCCCCAGCTGCAACAGGCCCCTGATATATGAGGCATACAACAGGAAAAGAAATGTTGTGCTCCTTGGTGTATTTTTGGTTGTTTTCGAAGCTAAAATGTAACTTTGTATTGTATTTTTGTTTTTTTTAGCGACGTCAAGAGTGTTCTGCAGGACCCACAGCTAAATGTCCTTCAGCGATGCCTTCTTGTGTCGCGGTGAGTCTCTGACTTTCCGTTTCACCTGCTGCTCCTCTTTATCTCCGCACCCCGCCGTCCTGCGGGGGGTGGCTTTAATATCACTCCCCTGGTCTGAAATGTGAAAGCGATGGCTCTTCCAGCAAACCTGGAGTTGAGGATATTGACCCCTGAGGGCTTCTTAATGGTCTTTTCCAAAAAGTTGATGGACAATAAACTTCTAAAACCAGATCTGCAGCCATATGTCTGTCTTTGAACTGAAGGTCTTATCCATGGCAACGCATAATAGCAAGAGTGTGAATGGAGGATTGTTTAGGAGGAGAGTATAATTATTGTGGTCATTCTTGAAGGCTGTCTTGCCTCACAATTTAGCATGCACTTTATCACCACAAAATAGTTTTTCCAGAGGTGTCATAAGAAAATATCTCCCCTGCTACCATCGATGTCTTTCTAATCACTGGAGCTGTATATTAGCCCCTGTCACAGGTGATTTTACCAGGGGTGCAATTGCACCCCCTACTGGTCAGATGAAAATGCTATTTGAACATATTAAGTTTAATAAAATGAAATTATATTGTAAAGTTATACTAGCAAATGTGGATTGTGTCAGTTACAACAATGTGTCATAATAATTTATTGTAAATGTTTTTACTGTTTATTTATTATTTATTTATTATTTATTTTCATGAACCCCTGGTGGAAAAGCTTAGAGACATCTATGGCTCCTGTGTGGAGCAGCATGTCACCATATGGTTTGGTGTCCTCAGAGGGCCTATGGTTAACACATTGCAGTCTGTCCCGGGACACCTTAGGTTATTTGGGGATGAATCGGACCTGCAGTTCTGGACGGTGGCGTCCCACTACCTGCAGACCTTCTCCCAAGAGCGGCAGGCGGGTGTCGCGGCCAGCGACGGCCAGGCTGAGAGCCCCCAGGGGGCGCCGGTGAGCCATCTGGAGATCTGTCAGGACACGCTGTGCGAGAGCGCCTACTTCCAGGTGAGGCGCAGCGGGGTCTCCGGCCTCCTGCTGAGGATGCTTCCCGGCGCATATCGCTCTCCATCACTCTCTCTTTCTCCCTCCCTCTGTCTGCCAAGGAGATCTCAGGTGTCAGGGCAAAAGCATGATTCCCAAAGGTATAGTGCGTCTCTGAACTGCGGAGACCGACACGGCAAGCTAAGCTTTCAGCTCTGGCATTCTCTCTGTAGAGCCTCAGAAAGGCTTTGACTCGAAGCCCAGCTTTACAACAAAGTTGGCTTAAGGAAAAGGCGGTGATGTCTCTCTGGAAGCAGTAAAGAGTCCGTTCCCATATTGCGCGTATAAGGACAGCTTAAAAAAAAAAATAAAAAATCAAATGCTTTAGTTTATTAAACAACAGAAATGGATAGAACTGAGAATGTGACAGCTGGTTAACCCATTCCTAGGTCAAGGACTTAAACTTTGGTCACACTTCTTGACTTGTAGCTGTCATCACACTTTGTCACCTGCTTCATTAGTACCTGTGTTTTCCCCATGCCTTTGAGCACAGAGAGGAGAACCATTTTATTTATCTTGTGGGCTTTAGCCTTGGGTCAGACCCATTCATCACGCGTCGCGAAGGGCAATGGAGCAGGGTGCTTACACTGTGTGAATGGATGGCGCTTATCTCAGCCTCGGTCATTGATCTAAAGGGCCGGGGGGGGGGGTGATTTAAATGCAGGCATCGATCTTTCTGTCGCAGTGATGTTGGTTAGTGAATTGAGGGGGCCGCCACGAGATGGAGAGATCCTGCATTGTTTAGTTACTAGGCCAACGCAGAGAGCGATTATTAGGGGTGAAGGTGAGGGTCTGGGGTTAGATCTTGATTTGTTTAGCGTCTTCAGTTATATCGTTTTGCCCCGTAATGTTTCTTGCCAGCTTCAGCGGTTAAGCCTCTTTAGATAGTGGATTTAAAGTCCTGGGTAGCATCTACTCCCACCTCGCAGCGAGGCGATACATCTCAGTTGTACGAGTAACGTTTTAGCTGCAATAAGTGGGTTTCGATCGTGTCGTCCCAGATAACAGGATTTTGAAGGCTTTTTGTATGGCTGACTTGCGATTGTCAGGTCGCTTCCTGAATGCTGGTGACTTTTCTGAGAAGCTATTAGGCTAGGAACGATGTCCATTAAAAAAAAGCATCTGTTTGTAATGCAGAAGCTAAAGGCTTGCTTGAGCGGTTGTGATTTTAGTTTTAAATTATCCACAGGTAGGAACAAAAGCTTTGTTTTGTGTGACAAAGCCTGTGTTCTGTAAAACGCATTGTGTGCACTTCATCAGTATGGTAGCTGGCCATGAATATTTAGCGTCCAATCAGAAGACAGTAACAGTAATTCAAATTGTCATAAAGCAAGACCCTTCATTAATGTGGAGAGATGGCCTGGGCCTCCTACCAAAACATCCATGAAATAACATAAATTCAGTATTACATCCATATCCACACCAACTATGATGATCCCATCAGTCAAACGCAAATGTAATATGGGAAAAATCAGTGGTTTGAATGGGCTTGATCTGAATTGACATTCAGCATTGTCCTTATTTTGGATTTCTGGAGAAAAGCTGTTATTTGTTCTGATAGTCAACATCATATCCCCAGTGTCCTATGATTACGGTTCAAAACACCCAGACTTTTAGATGACAAATCCTAGTGTCGCCCTACATGCAGCTCATGCAGAATATCTTCTGAACATTTGACGTTTCATTCCAGACACCACCAGAGACCGACACTTTTAGAGTACTCACACTACCGTAACTTGACTTGTATAAACTCCAGCCCATAGTAAAGGAAAGAGATCTGATAAAATGGAACGGAAATGGAATTTAATGCTGAAATGGCATTTTTGAAATGTCCGAGAAGCTATTCAGCAAAAGGCTGGGCCAGCGTTTTATCCCGTCATGTACGGCGTGTGGAACTGAGAACTTTGCTTCAGGAACCATGAGCCGGTGCAGTCGCTTCTATCTTGTTGATTACATTTGAGGAAACTTCAGTCTGGCTCATCCCATTTTTCTCCGAATGTGGTAGATGAGCGGTAGATTTTCTTCAGTCAGTTCTCCTTGAATTGGCACCCGCAGAGTCCACAATGGTCTAATTCACTGTATAGCCAGTGCGTGATGGAGTCCTGATGTGGAATGAGAACAACCGAACCAGGCATACGCTGGGAATTTATATGGGTTGATTAGTGAGAAACACCATACACCCTTCATCTGAATCACCAGGTGACTCTCTTCTCTGATAGAGGTTTCAGTTGGAACGAGTGCACCTCCAGGAGCTGAAGAGGTCTAGCTATGAACACACGAAGAAATGTGCCGACCAGCTTCTCCTGCTGGGACAGGTGAGTCACTGCGGCCCTGCACACACACCGTGCCACAGTTGGGTGGCCAGCTGCCACCTGCAGGTGCCTCTCACCAGGTGGATGTTGGTGCCGCAAGCTGCCGTCGGCACCGTGTGGCTTCTCTCCCACTCAATATCGCCGCCCTGTTGGCACCATGGTTACGGAGTTTGCACAGCTTGATCGGACAGAAAGTAGGAAGTTAAAAAGTAAACCTCAGACTGAAACGCTGACTCATTCCACTGGAATGCACTTCTCAAGGTCAATTTGGGTTACTTTAATTGGCTAGATCTGTAGATTACAGAAGCTACCGGCACCATTTTGTAAAATATTTGTTAGGTTGGAGAGTTTCAGGAGTGTTTCTGAATGCAGGTCAGGGAGTGCCCAGTTTCTCACTCCTGCTCTTTGGGGATTTCTGTTAAGTCCTGCCAATTCCACCCAGCAGCAAACATCTCTGCCCATAATTTCAGGGCACGATGGCCTTTGCGAATGGTTGTATAATGGCAGAAAGACCCTATTAGTCTCCCGGGAACGGCAGATTTCTGTGACGCTCTCTGCTATTCATCACAGATGTCTCGACTTGCCAACCCGGGAACTCAGAATGGTCCTAATAAAATCCGACGTGTCACGAATCCCAACGGAAACATCATAAAAGCCTTTCAGTCATTAAGAATTTGTCACTTATAATTTAGTAGAATCTCTCTCTCGTGCTGTATCAGGGATATTTCAGTCTTTTGTTCTTTCAGGTTTTGCATTTTTAAAGCTTTTGTGAAATTAGAGGCTGGCTAAAACATATAATAGGACCCCCCCCCAGCACCATTAATAAAAAAAATTCCCCAATGCACCTGTGTGGATAGGAAACTAATTGCCATTTTGATTTCCAATATATATAAAAACAAGAAGCCATGACCCATGTGAAGGTGACAAAGCGTATTGTGCTTGTCCGTATCGTATCCATGAGCGATGCTCTGTTGCTGGCGCTTAGGGGAGTGTGAATTGGTGCCCTGACCTCATCTGACCGGCGTGGTAATTACAGCAATAAAGCTGTGGTACAAATGAAAGGGAGAGAAAGGGAGGCCGGCAGAGTGATAGCAAGACGGATGAAGGACTACAGAGAGCATGAACTAAGAGGCGCTCTGCCTCGCATCGTAAAATTGAAATGGATGAGTGTCTGAAACAAAGCGAAAATGGGCGCGTTTCTCAGTCCATCAGGAAGCACCCAGCGGCCCTGCAGCGTCGTGTAACGTTGGGGGTATCGGCCTTCCTCTTGGGGTCGGCCAAGGAAATAACCAGTTTAATGGCTGCCTGTCATTACATCTAATCAAAGCTCCATCCCTCTCATTTTATTCATTATTCCTGCTCAGACTCTAATCTTGAAGCCCGATGTTGTGCCTTTTATGGTATTACCGCGGGATGTGGCAAGCGGGGCTGAATCGCTGCTACAGAGGCCTGCTATAATTGTGGTGTTGTTAGGAACCTCAATTACAATAATGAGGATGTATCTGCAAGGCGGTATCCCGGGGAGGTAAAGGAGATAGGGAGTCAGACGCAGGGAGCAGCAGGAGGTGGAGGAGGAGGAGCAGGGAGAGGAGCACGCTGTGGCTCTGGATCTGCTTCAGCTACCTCCGCCCTGTGCAGAGCAACAGAATCGCAGAGCTGCTGGGGCTACATCTCATTTACTTGCAAGGCTATTGTGGCACCGCAGTAAACTTGGTTGGGCCTTTTATCATTTTTATTTTGTGTTCATATTCATGCATTGCTATTTACCGACCGTAACTAGGGAAATAGTCAGGCTACGGTAAAACAAACAGTTTCCTCCAATGGATTCCCCCCCTTCAGTGCTTCTGTATTAAACATAAATATTTTTTAAGAAATCAGACATGTCTGAATGCAGACCATCCTTACGCTTCCTGACATCTGGTGTAGTTTGCTCGCCTAAGCCCCGCCCCTTTCCCCCTCCCCAGACGGACCGGGCGGTGCAGCTGCTCCTGGAGACGAGTGCAGACAACCCTAGCTACTACTGCGACTCTCTGAAGGCCTGTCTGGTGACCACCATCACCTCTTCAGGCCCTTCACAAAGCACCATCAAGCTGGTGGCCACCAACATGATCGCCAATGGAAAGCTGGCAGGTACCAACCCCAGTTTACTGCGGAATCTGTTCCCGGGGCCCCCTGTACCCCAGATAGAGAAGCATATAGATAGCATTATGCTCCATTACTTTCCTAGTATTAGTTCGGTCGTGGTTTCAAATAAATTGTATCATGTAATTCATCCAAAAGATTCAGAGATTGCGGCTCTCTGTGGGTCATGGTAATGCGCCAATGCATGTCCCGTAGAGTATCTGTGCATTGCAACCATGCCAGTTTTCTTGCAATCAGTAATAAACCCCATTATTTTCAGTAGGGCAGTGCATATATCTGCACAGCCAATTGTGTTGCCGCTAACATCAGAAAAACAGTTGGCAAATGCCAACTTGTCATACAGAGAGGTCTGTATGTCAAACACAGCCTCAAAGATAACGGGCTGGCCAGTGTGGCACAGAGCACCGGAGGAGCCTTTCTGAAAGTGTGCCCCACTGCCTGCTGCTAATTACTGCTCCGTTTCATGTTTTCCCTTTACTGTTTCATACTCTCTCTTCCTCCTTCAGAAGGTGTGCAACTGCTGTGCCTAATAGACAAGGCGGCCGACGCCTGCCGCTACTTACAGACATATGGGGAGTGGAATCGTGCTGCCTGGCTGGCCAAGGTATGATGAAGTATGATGGGGTTAGGGCTAGGGTATGATGGCTTTAGGGTATGGTAGGGTTAGGGCTAGGGTATGATGGCTTTAGGGTATGGTAGGGTTAGGGCTAGGGTATGATGGCTTTAGGGTATGGTAGGGTTAGGGCTAGGGTATGATGGCTTTAGGGTATGGTAGGGTTAAGGCTATGGTATGATGGCTTTTG